CTTACAAAAAGAGTTGTCCTCTCAGAAATTCACATAAAAATTACGTAGAAAATAATTTCAGATTTTTCTCAAAATATTTGTGTACATACTTTTTGCTTCTACTGTTTAATATTCAGAGAGCTAAATATTTGCCACACTGACATTCCCTAAATCCAACAACCCACCCATGTTTCTGCATCAAAAAGACAACAAGTCCAGAGGTCAGCAGGGGGCAGGGTGGTGAAGGACCTAAATTCCCAGATGGCTGACCACAGTTTGAGTCCTGGACTTGGTGGCTTGCTTTCTCACTTTCTCTCTCTGGTGAGCACATATGCTCTGGAGCAAATTAAAAAAATAATCATCTAGGGATCAGCAGATGGCATAATGGTTTCACCGGACTCCCAAGTAGTTGACCATGGTTCGAGTCCTGGACCCAGTGACTTAAAACACACACACCAAGCGTGTGTGCATGCATATCCAAAATCCCAAGAGGAGAATGGATTTGCAGCGTGGCCATCCTCCGTGGGGAGCGATTTCTTGCTTTCTGTCTGTCTGTCTCTATCTCTCCAGCAAGCACCTGCCCCCTGCCCTATAGCAAAAAACTCTCTACAAAAAAAAAAAAAAAATAAATAAGTAAAATTAAATATATATGTGTGTGTGTGTGTGTGTGTGTGTATGTGTGTGTATGTATGAGATTTTTGCTATAGGGTGTGTGTGCTCACTGGAGACACAGAGACAGTGAGAAAGAAAGAAATCGACCCTCATGTGAGATGGCCACATTGCAATCCTTGTCCTCCATTCTCCTCTCAGAATTTTGGGCATGCATACACACATGCCTGGCATGAGTTTCAAGCCTCTGGATCTGGAATTTGAATGGTAATTGACCATGTGGGAGTCCAGCACCTTAACCACTACCTGCTAACCACAAAAAAAAAGAAGAAAGAGGGAACCAGCAGTTAGTGTAATGGCTATGTCGCTGGACTCCCACGTAGTTGACCGCGGTTCGCGTCCCGGACCCTGTGGCTTAGAACTCACACCAGGCGCGTGTGCATGCGTGCCTAAGATCCCGAGAGGAGAATGGAGAAGGGATTGCGGCATGACCATCCCCCTGGGGGATGATTTCTCGCTTTCTGTCTCTATGTCTCTCTCTGTCTGTCTGGCAAGTGCACACGCCCTATAGCGAAAACCTCTCCAAAAAAAAAAAAAAAAAAAGAAGAAAGAAAAGAACTGCCATCAGAGTCAAATCTACTCCTTTAGGTATTCATTTTGACTTGACAATGGGTATGATGGTTAATTTTGTGTCAACTTGACTGGGACATGGAGTACCCAGATATTTAATCAAACATTATTTTGTATCTGTGAGGAAGAGATTAACATTTTTATCAGACTAAAGCAGATTGCCCTCCCTAATGTGGGTAGGCCTTATTTAATCAATGAAGGCTTGGGATGATGAAATAGTTACATCAGTGGACTCCCACTTAGTCAACTCCAGTTTCAGTCTCAGACCTGGAGACTCACGTGGGGGTTGCGGGGCGGAGGGGGCAGCAGATGGCATAATGGTTATGTTGCTGGACTCCCACATAGTTGACCATGGTTGAGTCCCAGATTTGCGGCTTAAAACTCACACTAAGCACATGTATGCGCTTGCCCAAAATCCTGAGAGAATGGAGAAGGGATTGTGGTGTGGCCAGTCCCCTGGGGCATGATTTCTCACTTTGTCTTTCTGTCTCTCCAACAGTGCACATGCTTTATAGCAAACGTCTCTCTTTTAAAACAAAAACAAAGACAAAAACAACTTATGCAGGGTACATGTGTGTTCATGTCCAAAACCCCGAGAGGAAAATGGAGAAGGGACTGTGGCATGGCCATCCCCCCGGGGGGATGATTTCTTGCTTTCTGTCCCTGTCTCTGGCGAGTGCATCCACTCTATACCAAAAATATTTCTGGAAAAAAAAAAATCAATGAAGGCCTGAATAGAACCACAAAGACTTAGTAAGAGAGAGTCTCTTTGTCTGCTTGACTGTCTTCCAACAGGGACATTGGTCATTTCTTATCTTTGTATTCAGCTTCAGACTGGAACTATACCATTGGGTCTCCTCAGGCTCCAGCTTGCTGACTGAATATCTAGGCATATTGCTTATAAAGAAGTTTTCCATTTCTCAAACACACAACCTAGAAGCCAAGTTCTGAAAACACTGGAACTGTGTCTTGGCAACTAACAGATTCTTTGCAAACACTAATCCCATCCTTTGCTTGTTCTCAAGTTCCTGTATAAGTAATGGTGGCCAGAAGTGAATTGAGGGGAGCCCAAAACCCATAATTCATAGTTGGATTTCTCAGAATGCTCTTCCCTATTCCGTTTGAAATATCCACAATGAACATTTCTTAGGTCATTAGAAATGATGAGATGGTTATTTGCTGTGTCCACATCCGAAGATATCCACTTGAAAAGAAAATCTAGTAGTCCAGCAAAGACTTGCTACGGATCCACTCTTCACTTTTACTGCAAAGACCTGTTTGGATCTCAATCACATTCACGTTTTTTATTCTTTTATTCCCTGAATAAGAATTTTCCTGGGGAAAACGTCTCTTGCCCCCTGAAAAGCCCATATTTTATAAAGAGAGTAAATAAATAATACTATAAATTCTTTTTATTGATAGTGATTTCTTTTTCTCTTAGGATTTAAATAATTATTTATTTTAAAGAATTATTACATTTCAATTTATTTATTTATTTATTTATTTATTTATTTAAATTTGAACAAAGAGGGACAGAGACAGAATGTGAGAAGGCAGGCCACCAGGTCTGAGACTTGAACCACAGTCAGCCATGTTGGAGTCCAGAGCCCTTAACCACCACCTCACTTGCCAGCCCCCATTTATTTAATCAATTAATTAATTTATTTAACTTGTTATAGTCATCAGAGAGAAAGCAGAGAGAGAGAGAAAGGGAAAGTGAGAAAGTAAGCCACCAGGTCTAGGACTCAAACTACAGTTGGCTATGTGAAAGTCTAGCCACATCACCTGCTGGCCTTGAGTAGTATTTCTTTTTCATATTAAGTTATTGTAATTAGAAAAAAAAATTTAAGAGAGATACTTTTGACAGAAACAGAAAGTGAAAAATCACCCCCCACCCCAGGCAGGCATGGCATCTCTGCAATCCCTTCCCTTCCATTCTCCTCTTGGGACTTAGAGTATGCATGCACATGTGCCCAGTGTTGATCCAGGACTCAAACTGCAGTCAACTATGTGGGAATCCAGCGACGTAACCATTATGTCATCTGCTGGTCCCAGTTAATTTCTCTTTTTTACATTAGTGGGTAAGATATTGTTCACAAGGACGCCATGATTGCTCTGAATATTTAACAGAGATTCTGTCAATATACACATCTAATGAATATGTAAATGATGGAAAATAATTATTAGTTTTTCTATAGGGCTTGTATGCTTACCAGAAAGAGAAGGAGACAGAGATGGAAAGTGAGACATCACCCTCATGGGTGATGACCAAACTGCAAACTCTTCTCTATTTTCCTCTTGGGGTTTTCTGAGTATGCACACGTGTCCAGGCATGATTTTCTTTTTCTTTTTTTAAAATAGGATACGTGTGCTTTACAGAGAGGAGACAGACAGAAGGATATCCCTCTGAAAGAGAGGGAAAGTGCGAAATCATCTGCTGGGGGAAATGGCCATGCAGCAATCCCCTCTCCTCCCTTCTGCTCTTGGGATTTCCTGTGTATACAAGCACAGGAACCTCAAGCCATTAGGTCTGGGTCTCAAATCACGGTTGTCCCTGTGGGAGTACAATGCCTTAACCTCTATGCTACCTGCTGGCCTGGAAGATATTATTGATTGAAGAATAGTGAAATATTAAAGTTGTTTTTTTTTTTTTTACAAAAAAACAAAAACCCACCAAAAACTGTTTCAAAAAATACAATAGTACAGGACCTACTCTGTGGCTCAGCAGAATTGCTCCAGAGAGGCTGGATCCCATAAGATAACAGCTGGCTCCAGTGTAAATGCCCAGGATCCCACAGGCTGAAAAAGGGGATAGGAGTAGCAGAACAGGACCTTCCTGTCTCTCTCCCACTTTCGTGTGAGTACAACACTCCCCAGCAGATGGCATAGCAAGTATGTTGCTAGAGCCCCACATGGCCGACTGCAGTTTGAGTCCCAACCCAGGGGCTTGAAACTCACGCCCAGGGTGTGGTAGGTGCCCAAGATCCCTGGAAAAGGTATTGCGGCATGGCCATGGGTTTCCCCCTCACTGTCTCTCCCACAAGTACACATGCCCTAAGGCAAAAATTTCTCTTAAAAAAATTGAAATGGCTTTGGAAATTTAAGAAGGGAGTAAACAAGTTTTTCTTATTGCTTAAAGCTGATTAAATTTCATCGTATAAATTAAAGTAACAACAAAACAAATAGAAGCGTATTAATATTGTTGAGGTATTTTGTCCCAAGGTAGGACCAGTAGCATCAACTTCCTCGGCCACAGAGAGAAGCGCTTCCCAATTGGGCAGCGTGTATCCGCCGTGACGCAGGAAGGCCTCCCATTGGCCCGCGCAGTCAGGCCTTGAGCGGCTATTCTCTTTAGCACTTAGGGTGCCGGGTCACTCTTCTTCCTCGAAGTAAGCGCTCCCTCCCAGTGTCCGGAGCTGCTGGTCCAAAAGGATCCGGACCAAACTAGGCTGGGTAACTGCATGGGGTCAGCCGGAGGCAGGCGGCGGGACTATAGGCGAGAGGGTGGTTGGCGAGCTTGGGTAAAACTGCCTGTCCTCCTGCCCTCTCGACCATGTCTCCACGACTTCTCTACCCTCCTCTGTTATTCCCACCTCGGCTCTCCTAAAGGATTCGTGCGTCCCTCCGCCGCCCAGTCGGTGGGCCCGCCTGCACCTTCCCCTCCTTTCCCCTGCCCCTTCCGCCCCTTTCGGCGGCCCCTCCTCCTTTGCGCGCCCCTTGGCTCACCACACCTCCTCACGCGCGCTCCCGTGTTCGCCTCACCTCGTAGCCCGCGCCCCCACGCAGGCCCCGCCTCCTCTGACGTTCTCTTGCGTGGACCCCGCCTCCTCACGCTTCCCTGCGTCGGCCTCGCCTCCTCGCCTGCGCCCTTACGTCGGCCTCGCCTCCTCGCGCGCTCGCCTGTGTCAGCCGCACCTCATCATACGCTCTCCCGCGTCGGCCTCGCCTCTTCTCGCTCCCTTACGTCGGGCTCGCCTCCTCGCCCGCGTCCTTGGATTGGCTCCGCATCACGTGCTCCTTTGTGTCAGCCCGGTCTTCTCACGCATTTTTGTCCCTTGACCCTGCCTCCTCCTTCTTTTTGCTGGCCCCACCTCCAGTGCGTCCCTTAGCTGCTCCCGCTCAGGTGTGTGGCTCCTTGGTCCCACCTCCTCGTCCCATTACCCTCACACCAGCCCTGCTTCGGACCACCCAAGGCGTACTCTCGGGTTTTCCCTCAGCTCTGTCTCTGTGCGCCCTTTTTCGTCCTCCCTCGCACTGTCAAGTCCTTTAAGTTTAGTTCTGCCCTTCCTTGATACTTGTACCTTTCTAGCCCTGCCTCTTTTGCACCCTCCGTCCTATCTGACTGCTTGAATTCACAGATGTCAGCCTCCCGAGTATGGGGTTAGCACATTGTGCAGGCCATTGGGGATGAAGGCTAGTAGTTGTAGGTCAGTCCTTTCAGAAGCTCTCTGCCCCATAGGGGCATGTAGTGAGTTTACCAGGCCTAGTGATGAGTCATTAATGTTGGATGCATAGAGAAAGGAATACTAGAGGTTTTCTTTGTCGTTCCTGCTGGATCCTCAAGCTGGATTGTGGGATGCTAAACTGAATCTTTCCCCAAATGTGTCCTTGGCTGCTTCTCATGCAGATGCTTGGCCTTAACCATGATCCTTTAAACATTTGAACATTGTTAAAATGTTAGTAAGGATCTGCCTTTTAACCTGTAAGAACTGGTAGGGCTTCAGAGACCATTCTTACAAGCCCTAAGTGTGGTGACTGACAGGAGACCAGGAACAGACAACTGATTGCCTTAGATAGTGACTCAGCATCATACTTTTGACATTTCTTTTGGGAATTTTTCTAACGATTCTTACCCAATTTTTCAGCCACCCAGCAGTCTTAGTTGGTAGGAGAACTAAAAGTAAGTATAAAAAACCCCCCCACCAATTCAGTAGATTCCACTAAATAATTCAAGTGTACACTATTCAGAATACAGCAACTCACCCCTCAGATTCTTGCAAAGAGTCAGGTATTCCTGGGATCTGGTTCCAGCTCCAAGCATTTGCTGCAAAGTTTGGTCAAAACAAAACAAAACTTAAAATCTCAGATTCAGTTTTACTTTATATAAGAGGAGCATGATAAACTCTTGCATACCTGGTTATGTTTGGGGATTTGTTAATATTCTGTTTATGGAAAAAAATATCATTTTGAGGGTACTATAAATTATAGGATCTCAGCACAAGTGAGACAGACGCCTGTGTTTCAGATTCATTTTCTGTGGTGCTCAAACCAGCAGAATCTGATATATTGCTCTTTCCCAGGCACCATGACGACTCTGGATGACAAGTTGTTGGGGGAGAAACTACAGTACTACTACAGCAGCAGTGAAGATGAAGACAGTGACCATGAGGACAAGGACAGAGGCAGGGGTGCCCCAGCTAGTAGTTCCATGCCTGCTGAGGCTGAGCTGGCAGGTGAAGGCATCTCAGTTAATACAGGTACTAGAAAGCCCTGGGCTCTGGGAACAAACTGAAAAAAATATCCATTAAACATGTATCCATTAGAAGCCTCTTGATCATGCTTCTCTAACTCCATTCCCACATCCAGAGATAACCTAGTGTTGCCATTTTATTGTGCATACTTCTAGCCTTTTTACTGCACGATACAAATATGTATGCATAGCAGCATGGTAATGAACACAGTCTGGTCTGGTTTGAATCCCTCTTCTCAAATTGATAGTTGTTTGAGGGGCCGGTAGGTGGCATGGTGGTTAAAGGCACTGGATTCCCACATGGCTGACAGTGGTTTGTGTCCCCCATTTTCCCTTTCTCTTGTTGTCTCTCTCTCTCTGGTCAAATTAAAATAATAATAAATGAAGTTAAATAAAATATTTTTTTGAGAGGTTTTTGCTATAGGCCGCGTGCGCTCGCCAGAAAGACAGAGAGAGACAGAGAGACAGAAAGCGAGAAATTACCCCCCAAGGGGGGATGGCCACGCCGCAGTCCCTTCTCCTCCATTCTCCTCTCGGGATCTTGGGCACGCACGCACACACACCTGGCATGAGTTTTAAGCCACCGGGTCCGGGATTCGAACCGCTGTCGACTACATGGGAGTCCAGTGACGTAGCCATTACGCTAACTGCTGGTCCCTAAGTTAAATAAAATATTTAAAAAATTAGTTTGAAATCTGTAAATCATAGGTATGAGTGTATTGGTCTTACACATTTCTAGAGGTGGCATATTTATCTTTTTACAGCTTTTTAAAGAATTTATTAATTTTTATTTGTTACTCATTTTTTTAATTTTTTTTTTTTGGAGAGATTTTCACTATAGGGTGCGTGCGCTCGCCAGACAGAGACATTGGAGACAGAAAGCGAGAAATCACCCCCCAGGGGGGATGGTCACGCCGCAGTCCCTTCTCCTCCATTCTCCTCTCGGGATCTTGGGCACGCACGCACACACACCTGGCATGAGTTTTAAGCCACCGGGTCCGGGATTCGAACCGCTGTCGACTACATGGGAGTCCAGCGACATAGCCATTACGCTAACTGCTGTTTCCCCATTCATTTTTTAATTTGATGAGAGAGAGATGCACAGAGAGAGACAGAGACAGAGAGACAAAGGGAAAGTGAGAAAGCAAGCTGCCAGGTCTGGGACTCGAACCACTGTTGGCCATGTGAGAATCCATCGTTTTACCATCACACCACTGCCAGCCCCTATCCTTTTACATTTTAATACTGTCAAAGTATTATTAGTTGAGGTGGCACTTGTTTATAGTTTAACTAGTAATCTATTTTTCTATACAGTTGTCCTCCTACTGTGTTATCAGACTTTTTTGATCTTTGCCATTTTGGTGGATGACAAATAGTAACTCAGTTTTCTTTTTTAGATGAAAGTTGAACCTCTTTTCATAATTTTAAAGGTATTTTCTATCCTTTGGTCATTTTTACTCTTTAAAAAAATTTTATTGAGGCCAGCAGTTGGCATGGTGGTTAAAGTACTGGATTCCCACATGTCTGACCAAGGTTTGGGTATCGGATCTTGTGGTTTGAAAGTCATGGCAGGAGTGTGTGTGTGAATGCCTGCCCAAAATCTTGAAAAAATAATGGAGGAGAAGGGATTGAGGCATGATCATCTCTCTGGGGGGGGAGGGTGCTTTCTCACTTTCCCTTAGAGAGAGACAGAGAGCTCTGTTTCTGTCCAGCAAGTGCACATACTGTATGGCAAAAACTTAATGAAAAACAATAATTTAATTAAAAAATAAAAATGATTATTATTTAATTGTCAGAGAATGACAAATAATAATAATAATAATAATAATAATTTTTCAATTGTCAGAGAGAAGGAGAAAACATCCCTGAATGGAGTGCAGTCACATTACAAGCCCATCTCCATTTCTCTATCCTGCTGAGATTTGGGGCACTCATGCTTATATGCCTGGCATGTTTTTTAAGCTGCTGAAGCTGAGATTTGAACTATAGTCAGCCCTTTGGTATCTGGCTCCCTTAATCACTATGCTTACAGGGCAGGCCCTTTGGCTCATTTAAAAAAATTGGTTGGTTGTTTATTTTTTTTTTTTTTAAGATTTTGGGCATGCACAGCACACCCAGCATGCATTTTTTAAAAAGAATTATTTTATTTAACTTTATTTATTATTAATATCATTATTATTTTTCAGTTTGATCAGAGAGAGACAGAGAGAGAGAGGAAGTGAGAAAGTAAGCCACCATGTCTGAGACTTGAACCGTGGTCGGCCATGTGGGAGTCCAGCACCTTTAACCACTACGCCACTTGCCAGCCCCTGGTTGTCTTTTCTTCTCAGGGAGTTGTACATTAAGGAAATTAATTTGTAGTATGAATTGTTAAGTATTTCTCCCAATTGTCTTTTAGACTTCATGTTCATATTTTCCTGGAGGAAAATGTTTATTTTTATGTACTTGAACATATTTTTTTATAGTTTCTTAATTTTGTTTCTTACTTAAAAGGCCTTTATTTTACTCTACTTTGTAGAAGGCCTTAATTAAAAAATATTCTCATATGCTTTTTCTTATAATTTTTATAATTTCTTTTTGAAATTTTTTTTAATTTTTAATTTTTAAAATATTTTATTTTATTTATTTTATTTAATTTATTTTATTTTTTGCAGTTTAAAAACAGCCACTGTGTATTTACCAACCAGATTACAAAAATAATCATGGTGGATACCTTAGTTCATCCTTCTAATAAGTCTGTTGATCTGATCTTCCCTGTTGCCAGCATCTCTACCTTCTACAAAATGGGTGGTATTTTTCTTCATTCCACCTCATGGAGAAGATAATTTTTTTCTTTTTTTGGAGAGGTTTTTGCTGTAGGGCACATGTACTCGCCAGAAAGACAGAGAGAGACAGAGAGACAGAAAGTGAGAAATCACTTCCTAGAGGGTATAGTCACACCACAATCCCTTCTCCTTCATTCTCCTCTCGGGATCTTGGGCATGCATGCACACGCGCCCAGCAATGAATTTAAGCCACTGGTTCCAGGACTCGAACCACAGTCGGCTATGTAGGATTCCAGCGACATAGCCATTACGCTAACTGCTGGTCCCTCATGGAGAAGATAATGTGAAGGGCCACAGGAAGTTATTTGCTTCTTTGAAGTGTTTTCCAACAGTATAGATTTCATGAATCAGGTCTTCCATGCAGATGATGCCAAATTTACCAAGATATTGAGCAATCAAAGAGTTATCTGTCAAAGCAATTCACTTCTTATTGATTTTACCATAACCACGTTTGTAGATCAGTTCATTTACAGACTTCAGGTTCCAGTATCCCCATGCAATATATGGTTCCACAATTCTCAACATGTTAATTGAGGCGTTGTTGAGCTTAACAAAGGTGCCATTGAAGATCTTGTGAAGGCAAAGCAGCTGTAACACCTTTAGAACCTTTGGGCTCACTCTGTTGATACCTCTGATCCTGATAACAAACATCAATTTGGATTCTGCGGATACATAGAAATTGCCAGCTTTTCTTGCCATCCTGGCCATGCAAATCTCAGTTCTGTACATCTGTCTATATTCCTTATGATGTGCTTAGCTTTTTCATAGGTAAGCTTCCTCCTTGCTTTTCAAAACATCTTTTGAGCAAACTTTTTTCTCAGGTCCTTGATCTTTAGCTCTGCAAAATTCCTTCACTTTTTCTTGGGGTTTCTAGCCCAGCAGTAACCTTTTTCTTAGTGGCTTCTTCCACAGCAGGAGGCTTTTTCTTGGTTTCTGCTACAGCAGGAGCCTTCTTTTTCTTCTCTTGAACTCCCTCCATGGTTCCAGCTGGAAAAGAGGAAGTATTTATTTATTTTAATTTGACCAGAGAGGGACAGAGTGAAAGAGAGAGAAAGCTAAAGAGAAAGTGAGAAAGCAAGCCATCGGGTTTGGGACTCGACCCGCGATCATGTGGGAGTCCACTGCTCTTAACTACTATGCCACCTGGTGATCCATTTTATATATATATATA